CTAAGGCTGCAATCTTGTATCTTCACTTAGGGGAAAAGCCTCATCAAACTCAGAGGAGCTAAACTCACACAGGGTTTGACTAAAAGCAACTGCAGTGAGCTTTGTGATGACAAGCATAATATATCTTCACTAGAAATGTGTTAATTTTGGGGACAGCACTCCCCCCAAAAATGACATTTGAATTAGGCACAGGAGGCATTCTTCCCATCATTGTGATTGCTTCCACAGACTTTTCCCTCATACTATTCAGAATTCAGAAACAGGACTGTAAAGCTTAAATACTGAGTTCTTCAAGCAGCTAATCCCCTAACTCCAGGTATCAAATTACAACACTGCTTCTATGTTTGACCACACACCTTTTATTCCTACACCTACTGTTTCTTGCTGAAAATATAAGCTTTGAAGTTTTAACTGATGCAACTTTCATCAACTAATATTGATCTTTCTTTAATGAAGCCCTGTCATCTCTAATATAAATAACTGCATCACAGCACTTAGGTACAAGTTTTTTCTCAACATGACTGAATCTAAGCCTCAGTGGAGAATCAGAACTTTTGTTTTCTTTAAAATGAACTGCTTCTAATCCAAACTAAAGGAAAAAAAGGCAACAATACTTTAAGCTGATATAGCATTGCTACAGTTAAATGCGTTTGCTAACCCACTGACTGACACGTGTTAGTAGAGTTTTTAGTTAATGGTTGAGCCAGACATTTATAAACAAAATAATGAAACTAGAAGGAAACACATAGTAATATAATCTCATATGATCTATTGAGAAATCATTATATTATGCTTGGGCTGTCTTGCTATCTGAACAGGAAATAATCTTCAAACGTGTGCCATCAATAATATCGATTGTTAGATGGCAAACTTTATTTTATATAGTTTTATACAGCTATGTAATTTGCCCAGCGCCAAACTTAAAAAAAGTATTGTGAATCAACTGTACAATCCATTCTTTTGCACTCTCAGTTTCTCAAGTTCATTAGTAACTTTACCACTATGAACTCATCAAGCTTAGCTAACAGTGTTACCAACAGCAACCCCCCAGCTCAACACATGCCCCCCACCAAATAAGCTATGTAGGAGCTTTTCAGCAAAGTCCCACAACTATGCAAACCAAAAACCTAAAGAAGACCGAGGAACATGGTATTTAGGACTGCAGTCTGCCCTTCCCCCACACCTAAGGGCTTCGGTAACGTTTCCTCGAAACAAGGCATTAACTTCCGAGGACAGAAAAACGTGGCTGAATTGGGGAAGCCACGACGAAATCAGGGATACGCAACGTAAACACAGCTCAGGCACACGCACATGGGGTGCCTCCAAAGAAGGCGAGCTACACACCCACCCGCTTGAAAGGCCTCGGCTGCCGCCCTTCGCCAAGCAGCGGACACACTGCAGAACATGCCACATTCACGCTGCTTCTGACACACAACTACGGTATGATCCACGACTTTTTAACGCCCCGAAATAGCTAACGCAGCCCGTGGGCCCGGCGGGCGAAGCGCTGCACGGGCTCTGGGCTGCCTCTGCTCCCCGACAGCGGCAAGGAGCAGCTGGGCCACTGCAGCCCCTCCCTCCGCTATCCCTGCTTTCTATACAGGGCCCCCACGTGATCCAGGCGGACGTTTCAATACTGCTGCACAGACACACACGCACACAAAAATATTTCTGGAAACTTCCACTCCTAATAATTCACACATTATGCTCCTCGCTTTCTCCACCCGGTCTCCAGCGTCCCGCCTCATCCTTCCTCTACCCAAAAGAGGGAACCCTGCCTCTGAATCTCCCGCCGGGCCGCCTTTCTCCCCCCCACCGCCCCTCACTGACTTACAACCTACCACCCAGCTCCGGTTTCTTAACACCACACTTGCTGCTTCGCTTCATCCTCCCCGCCATGCTCCAAGGATGGCCCAGGCTTGCTGGAACCTGCTAGGCTTTCCCTCCCCGCCGCCACCCGATTACTTTAAGGCCCGTTTCTAGATTACCAGGCTTACTGAAACTTAGGCAGCCTCCCAACCAGGACCGCATCTTGGAAAAATTCCCCTCCGAGACCCGTGGCCGTTCACACACACCTCTTTCCCTGCCTCTCCACCCGCCCCCCACCTTCATCAGGCTTCTAGCACAACTCCCCAAGCTCAAGCATGTCACGTCCATGCACGAGGGAGAGGCCTCGGACTTTGTCCTCCACGCACATCCCCTCCCTCCTCCACGCTATTTTCCCCTGGGGAACAATAAAGACCTCATCCAAATACCACTTGGACCCGTTAGGCCCCGCGATTAACACGCATCCCCGGCAAAGGCTTCACAATACGCCTCGCAGTCCTCACGCTTCTCACTTGCCCAGCTAGTGCACTCCTGCACCACATCCCTTCCTTCCTATCTCCCACCTTCCACCCCCCCAAAAACTTCACCTGTTTCCTCTTCCGCCCCATCCCAACTTTCTTCCCCAGCCCTCCCTTCCATCCAGTGCAACCTCTCCTAGTCGTCCCACGCACGTTTCCATTAAGAGAAAACTCTCACTTACCTAATTTAGGATCACAGCTACTTCTTCTAGAGAGGGAGCGGAGAGCAATACAAAATAGTAATAATAGTAGTAAAAACCAAGCCAAGCCAAGAAGCACGAGGAGGAGTGGGGGTGAAAAGCCCTGTCCAACCTTCCTTCCTTCTCAACTCCCCCCAACACACACAGAAACAAAAGAGAGGCACCCTCCGATGTACACGCGCAGCCCAAAACTCTGGTTCATTCAGGCCCGCCCGCCCCTCCCCTCCCCCCGAGACAGCACGACTTACTCCCTAAAAGGGGGGGCGAGAATGGATGAGTTATCCCAAAAGGGCAAATGGGAGGAGGAGGGCGACACACAAGAAGTCACTTTCTGTTTCCCCAACTCAGCCAAGTTGGAAACACACCCACACCGAGCGGCGGGGCTCGGCCGCCCATTCAAAGACGGGCACCCCGATCCTGCCCCAGCCCCGCTCCCCAAGCACGCGCGCGGCCGCGGAGGGGCGGGATGCGAAGCAAGGCCGCTCGCGCAGGCGGGGGGCGGCCGAGGAGGCCACTCGCGCTCGCACCCTCCCGCGCCGCTCTCTCCCGCCCTTTCCCTCAGCACCCCGTGGCGGGGGACGCCCCTAGCCCGCCCCGCGCGCTCGCCCCCGCCCCGCGAGCGAAGGGTAGCAAGGGATGCGCGCGCAGTGCTCGCCAGCGGCCTCCCCCGGGGGCGCAGCCACGCTGACCGCCGAAGTTGAGGGCGCTCGGCCAACCTCGGGCAGGGTCCAGGGGCCTAGGCGCGCGCGCGCGGCGGGCGAGCGGGCGCGCGCTCGCTCACACGCCCACCCCGGTCCCGCCGCAGCGAGGACGGCGAGGCGGGTGGGCAGTAACAGTCGTGGTCGCGGCGGCGGCGGGGCGTGTGGGGAGACCTCAGCCCCCCAGAAGCCAGCAGCCGCGGCTCGAGCACTTTCCCCCGCCCTGTGCCTAGCCCTTCTCCCCCTCCTCCTCGCCCGCCAAGGGCCGCTTCCCCACGACTCCCTCACGGGCTGCCTCTCCTCAGGGCGACCCCCACTCCCCCGAGCCGCTCTCCTCTCTCCGCCGCCCCCTGCTGCCACTCCACTCCTGCGCTTGAGGGACCCCGCTCGGCTCCCTCTGAACGCGCGCGCCCCTCCCGCAGCTCCTCGCCCGCCCGCCTGCCCGCCTCAGCCCACGCGGTAAAGGCGGCAAAGGGACCGAGTGCGCGGGGCGGCTGCGGCGGCGGCTGCTCCCCTCTCACACTCGCGCGCGCGCGCACGAACACACACACGCACACACACAGACACACGCGGCCGCCCTTCTTGCTCCCCGCTTTCTCCTCCCGCTCTCCTTTCCCCCCGGCTCCCGCTCTCTTTCGTCGCTGGTGCTTCTCCTTCCGCTCTTCCTCCCCCTCCTCCTCTAGTGCCACAGACTCGGAACCGGCTCAAACCGGTTCAGACTGGGAGATTCCATCTCGGTTTAGTTTTCAGCCCATGGCGCCTCGGAGCGCGCGGGAGGGGCGGGGGGAAAGCCTCCGCCCCAAACCGCCCGGCCTTCCCATTGGCTACGGGCGATGATGGGAGGAGGAGGGAGCGCCGGAGAGGAGGGGGGAAGGTGTATACACACAGCGCCGAACACAGACCGAACATGGAGCTCCGCCTCTCATTGGTTGGCCGCCGCGTCCGTCTGCCCGACTCGCGGCCCTCCTCCCAGCGCGCGGGCTTATGTTGCAGGCAGCTCCTTCTCTCCCCCCTCCTCCCGCCGCTTCTAGCATGCTACTTTCCCGCAGAGTTTGGTTGGGAGGAAAGAAAGGAGGCGGGGGGGTGGGGAGCAGAGACGCGTCGTCCGTACCTGGTTGGCCGGGGAAGCGGTCTCTCTCGCTTCCGTCCCTCCCACCTGCCCCTTCCTCCGCCTTCGAAGCCTTCAAATAGCATTCTCGCGGGCTACGGCTTTACTCTCTGCCGCTCCCGGATTGGCTGGCTGCTTCAAGTGACGTCAGGGGGCCGAACTCGAGGAGAGGAGACCGTTTACGGCTCGGCTCCCCTCGCGGCGCCGCAATTAGATCGGGAGCGCCAGAGGACGCTGGAGCGAGTGCGGGCTTGGTCCCCGGAAGGACGGGACGGGACGGGACGGGACGGGACGAGAAGAGCCGAGGGCATGCAGGCGGGCGAAGGAAGCGGGGAAAGCGGGAGGGAGAGGAGAGCCAAGGGGGAGACAGGGAAGGAGGCGGCGGAAGGAATAGGGGGGATAAGGAAGGCGAAGGGGCAGAGAGCGGGTGGAAGGCGGGGGAGGAGAAAGGGGAGAAGAGAGAGTCTGGGAAGGACAGGGAAAGAGAAAGCGGAGGGGAGAGGAAAGGGGATAGAGCAGGGGGGAGTAGGGGAGCGGGGGGAGGACAACGAAAGGGGAAGGAAGGAAAGGGAGATCTTGGAAGCAGAAGGGGGGGAGGAAGGAAGCATGCAGTGAGAGAGTTAGGAATGAATGAATGAAAGAACGGGGAAAGGATGTCATGCCCCTTTTATATTTTAATCTGCTCCTCTCCCCTTTCTTCCATGTAAGAACGTAGGAGCTGCTCGGGATCATGCCCAGGGCCCTGGTAGTCCGGCCTTCTGTTCCCAAAGGGGCTGATGGGATGCTTGTGGGAAGTGTTCCAGAAGGACACTTGGGCAGGCATGTCCTCACTTTGCTTGGCAACTGGTTTCCAGAGCTCTGCTGCTTCTGATTTGGGGAGGACGAGGCTATCAGTGGCTGCTAGTCACGAAGGCCCTGGGCCGCTTCCAGCATCAGGGACAGTTTGCCTGTGTGCACCAGTTGCTAGAGAACAGAGGTGGGAAATTGCCATGGCCCTTACGTCCTTCCTGTGGCCTCCCTCAGACTGCCTTATTGTCCACCAAACATAATGCTGGACTACATAGATCTGTGGTCTGATCGTGCATGGTTCTTGGCAACTGCCAGGTTGTCCTAACTGTTAGGCTTTGATAAGGCTCATCTTCCATGTATTTCCTTAATCCCCTTTTAAAGCCATTCAAGTTGATGGCCATCACTACATCCTGTGGTAGTGAATTCTGCACCCAAGTATTGATTGGTGCCACTCCAAAACTAGGAGCCATCGTTTTTCTTTGAGACTTCCATTTTGGGAAATAGTGGTTAGAATGTTGGATTGGAACTTGAAGAGATGTGGGTTCCAGGCTACGCTTGGCCAGGAAGTTCACCGGGTGACTTTGGGCCAGTCACAAAGTCTTAGCCACACCTACATTATAGGTTGTTGTTGAGAGTTTAAATTTAAGTTTAAGTTTGTTGAGTGTAGGAGTACCTTGTAAGCTGCTTTAGGTTCCTTGCAAGAGGAAGAAAAACATTATACATATAATGCAATCAGTTCTTTTTTTCTTGAGACATGTATTATTAACATAATACTTTAAGACTAGTCTATACCAAAATACTTGGGAGTAAGCCCCATTAAACTCAGTGGGACTTCTAATGTATTTTCTGAGGTACATTAGGCATTAGCATTGATTGATTTGTATTCCACTTTGGGATTTCTTCATTGAGAAGTGGTCTATAACTCTGAAATAATACAGGATTCTACTGCAAATCCAGTAATTATAAGAACTTTACAACATTAAGAAGTGGTGCCTGTGTTTACTTGTTTTCTTTTGCCCTTGCTGCTGCTCTATGCTTACCTTTTTTTGAAATGCAAGCCTTGAGTTGTGGGACTGTTTTGTTTTCATTGATATATAAGCCACTCTAAAGTCTTTAAGACATAACAAGAGCCTTGTGTCAGACCAAAGGTTCATTTCATCCAGCAGCTGTTCACACAGCAGCCAATTAACTGCCCATGTGAGACCTCCAAGAGGAAGTTAAATGCAGCAGCACCTTCCCATCTATGGCATACATAGGCATACTACCTGGAATATTAGAAGTAGCATATGGCCATAATATGCCAGTGTGGTGTAGTGGTTAAGAGCACAGGACTGGGACTCATGCAGTCTGGGTTCTGGTCCCTGCTGAGCCAATGGGGTGAATTTGGGCCAGTCACAAACTCAGCCCAGCCTACCTCGCAGGGTTCTGGGGATAAGATCGAGAGCAGCAGGAGGAGAATGATGTAAGATGCTTTGAGTTCTTTGTAAGAAAAAAGGTGACATAAATCTAAAAATAGCCATTAGGACTGACAGCCATTGTTTGCAGAATAGCAGAGCTGGAAGGGGCCAAGAAGGCCATTGTGTCCACCCCCTGCTCAATGCAGGACTCCCCAGTTAAACCATCCCTATTGGATGGCTGTCCAGCTGCCTCTTGAATGCAAGTGTGTGACCACCCATGGCCTGCCAAGCTAATGAGCTCCATTGTTGGATTGCTCTAAAAGTCAGGAAGTTCTTCCTGATGTTCAGCCAGAAAGTGGCTTGCTGTAACTCGAGCCTGTTATTCCATGTCCTGCACTCTGGGATGATTGAAAAGAGGTCCTGTCCTTCCTCTTTGTGACAGCCTTTCAAGGACTTGTAGATTGCTATCCTATCTCCCCTCAGTCTTCTCTTCTCCAGGCTAAACATGCCCAGTTTTTTCAGTCCCTCACAGGTCTTTGTTTCCAGTTCCTGGATTACCCCTGCTGCCCTCCTCTGAACACTTTCCTGTTTGTTTGCATCTTTCTTAAACTGTGGTGCCCAGAAACGTACACGGTACTCCAGGTACCTAACCAGTGCTGAGTAAAGGGGAAATACTGCTTCCTGGGACTGGGAAGGGATCCTCTTATTAGTGCAGCTCAAAATAGCATCTGCCTTTTTTGCAGCCACATCACAGTGTGGACTGATTCAGCTTATGATGTACAACAGTTCTAAGATCCTTCTCACTTGTAGAATTGTTGAGTAAATTATCCCTCATCTTGTTTGGGGGATCTTGGTTTCTTTTTTCTTGTGCAGAACTTCTGTCCCTATTAAATTTAATTCTATTGCTTTTGGCTCAGCATTCCAATGCATCAAGCTCTCTTTGAATTTTGATTCTGTTTGCAAGGGTATTATTTGTCCCACCCTATTTTGTGTCATCTGCAAATCTGATATGCATTCCTTACATTTCCTCATCCAAATCATTAATAAACATGTTAAGATGTTATCCTTTATGAATCCATCTAATGCACATGTGATGGACGTGCACATGGTGGGCATGTCGTGAGCGGAGCCGGCTGGTGGCGGAGGTCCCTTTTGACTCGCTCTGTTTCTATGTTTTATTTATTTATTTTATTAAAACATTTCTATGCCGCCCCTTGCCGAAGCCTCTATTCTATGTTTCTATTCTATGTTTCTATTGATATTGCAGAAGTGAACTCCATAATTTAACTTTGCTGATCTGCATAAAAATACCTGTTTTTATCTGTTGTGAATCTCCAATCTGCTTTATAGGGTGACTTCAGGGTACTAGCATTATGAGAAGGAGAAAAATGTTTCTATCTACTTTATCCACACTGCATATTTTTGCACGCCTATAACATCTTCCCTTGCTTTACTTTTTTTCTGAACTAAGGTTTTTAAGCAGATTTATAATCAATTTCTTTCCCGGAAAAGAACCTTGTAAGCCGCCTTTGGTTCCTTGGAAGACGAAGAAAAGCAGATATAATAAATACAATGTAATATTTATAATTATTCTTACGCCTAGTGTGAAGTTTGCCCTTTTCACAAGAATGCACTGGGTTGACATTGTAATTCCTCTGTCCACCTCAGTCCCAAGATCTCTTTCTTGGTCAGTCACTGCTAGCTGGGATCCTGTCACTTTCTACTTCACAATGATTTTTGTTTTTCCTGGCATACATCGATTCAAACTTGCTTACAATGAGCTCTGTCTGCCATTTTGATACTCATTTGTCCAGTTTGGAGACATCCTTTTGGAATTTTTCACAATCATGTTTTGTTCTAACCAACTTAAATAATTTGACTTTGCCTGGAAACTCGGCCACTTCAGTGCTCACTCTTAGTTTCAGATTATCAATAAACAAAGCATTGATCCCAATCCAGATCCCTATATTGTATTTATGCCTGCTTGTATTAACCATTATAGATAATATGGAAAGGGTGTTGGTTACCTGAAGGAGCGCTTACATCCATATATGCCCAGCCGCCCCCTGAGATCGGCAGGAGAGGCCCTTCTCCGGGAACCCTCCGTGAAAGAAATTAGGAGGGTGGGTACTCAGAGGAGGGCTTTCTCAGTGGTGGCGCCTAAGTTATGGAATGTGCTCCCCAGAGAGGTCCGCCTGGTCGTTATTTGTTTTTCGGCGCCAGGTGAAGACCTTTTTATTTAAGCAGCATTTTAAATGTTAATACTATTGAATTTTATTTGGCCAGGGCGGCTTATTTTATTCTAATGTATGTATTTTAATTGTTACTGTCTTAATTTATTGTTGTGAGCCGCCCCGAGGCTTCGGCGAATGGGGCGGCATAAAAATGTTTTAATAAATAAATAAATATTTTATTGGTCCAGATGAGGACACAGGATTCATGGCCACATAGACAAGGGGTTCCCAAGTGACCATTGAACACGCCTTGAATTTTGAGTGTTGTGGAGACTTGCAAAACAGTTGCTTGAGGGTGGGACTTGCCCATTCATAAAATGGCTGCCATGGTGTGTGTGGCCAGTCGTAAAATACCCATTTACAATAAGGCAAACGAGAAGCAGAAGTTGGGTCGTCATTCACCTACCACACAGCAAAACAAAATCAGCCAAGCTAGCAATACCTCCCTCTCCCACCACGTAGGTTTTTTCCCCCCCGGGTGGTTGGGTGCACTTCAGAATGAAACACTGGGCTGTAGGCACTCAATATCTTTATTTTTCATGAGTACTATTGTGGTAAAGGCATTCCAATGGCACCTTGAGCCAAGTCCGCTGCAGCACGAGCGCCTCCCAGTTTAGAATCGGGAGGAGCAGGAAGTCCGGCAGGTGCCAAGGGAGGTCTGTAGGCATCGCCCTGGAGATCTCCGGGTCTAACGGTCTGATGTTGCAGGGCTGATCCTAAAAATTTAATAGATCTACAAGAATGGGCAAGAATACAGAGGGGCCTTGAGAACAAAAAGTCTGGCTTCAATGGGATCGTTCTGTTACTTGCTGATGCGTTACATCTGAGCGTGCTTTCCCCCCAACTTCTATGCTGAGTGATCTGAGCTTTCCCCATCTGCCACCTCAATGGGATATTGCATCTCTGGTGTCCCTAAAACAATGGTAGCCTGAACTGAGTTGCACATCGAAGCACCTGGGTTGCTTGTGGGGATGAATGGCCTGGTGCCGTAGCCAAAAGATCATCATTAAAGCAGGCCGTATGTGTATGTTGGGAAAGAAGGGAAGATGTTCCTAGCGTGTGTTGAATATGCCACACATTCCTAGGATCAGAAGACAGACTTTGCACTCCCCAGGTATATTATTTATTGCCATTAAGGAAGAAAATTTGTTTAGCCCTACCCCAACTCCCAAATACTTTGGCCACCTAATGAGAAGGAAGGTCTCGCTGCAGAAGACCCTGATGCTGGGAATGATTGACGGCAAAAGAAGAAGGGGATGGCAGAGGATGAGGTGGCTGGATGGGGTCACTGGGGTGGTGGGAGTGGGCTTGGCTGACTCGGAGGGATGATGGAGGACAGGAGAGCCTGGAGGAATGTTGTCCATGGGGTCGCGATGGGTCAGGCACGACTTTGTGACTCAACAAAAAAGGTCCAGCAACATGTAGAGGGTCAGAGGTACCCCAGTGCTGGAGCTGATCCTTGGGAGAGGTGGTTCTAATGTTTTAAATTAATACGATCCATTGTGTTTTAGATGGAAGAGCAGCTAAAACTGGAACAGGTAGGATGGCAAGGGGCGAAAGGGGGTAATAGTTGTATGTGGGCAGAGAGATGAAAGCATACAGCTCCGTACATGTAAATATGAGTAACTTCTGGTTTACATTACATGAAATAAAATTCTCTCATACTCACCATTGCAAACAAAGGATAATGTTAGCATGGTAACCGCAAATCCATGTTGAATTATACGAGTGGTGTGCCAAGGAGGCAGATAGGATACCTGAAATATGCCAAAAACAAACCGGGTTAAGTAGTCTGGTAACCCAGTTTGGGTTAAGTAGTCTGGGTGTCTCAAGTCTGTGGGGGCGATTTGGGGGCTGAAGCAGCAAATTCCATTCCACGGGCAGATGAGACAGTATTGGATAACCCTGGAAACGTATATTCAATTGACTGTTATTTAACTGGCTGATTAAATTGCTGTAAAAATTCAGCGAAACTGGCTTGAAGAACATTTATTCTCCAGTATGTGTGATCTTGTGAGAAGTATCACCGTTTCGTGATACTTCCTGTTTTATCAAATCTAAAAATAGCAGGATTTTCTAGTATATTATCGGATCTGCCAATTCCGATTTCAACCGAGCATGGTAGGAACTATTTGCCTGAGGTGATAATGTTGGAAAGCACAGTAATTTCACAGGGAAAGGCAAATTTGGTGGGAGACAAAACTGTCATGCAGTTTACATAGAGATGGATTCTTCTTCAGGTTTCTCCCAAATTTTTCATTTGGTTCTTAGCTCAACCAATGTACCCAGGACAGGTCTAACAAAGAGCTTTCTAGTAATGAGCAA